CTATATAAAGAATATATTTTTGGAGACCTGATATTTTACTTTTATTTTCCATGATGCAGACATTTAGTGAAAAGATACAATACCTGATTATTTTTCTGCCATCTATTAATTCTGCTTTAGATCCATAACATTTCCATCTTGGTGCATCGACTGGAGTTCTACGACAAGAATAACGTTCTCATTATACGAAGGGAAATTGCAGCCTTACAGAAACGCCTGGAAGAGTGCCAGAACCATGTCAGCGCTACTCCCCTTCCTCCCGTGGACTATGGTGAGTACCGAGTGTAGAACATCCGTTCATTGTAGAAGAGTCAATCATCTAACTCTTATTTACAGTGTAATATATACTGAAATCTGGTCTATGAACCCCCAGTTATTGTTGCAATGAAAATACATTTCTAATCTATTGTTGGGTTAAGTACCATTGACAGCTGGTGAAGTTTTAAGATGGTGGGGTGCTGAACTCCTCCTTTGGAAGTTGACTCCGACCCTTAACTCTGTAACCATTTTCTGACTAATGGGATCCTTCTAAAGTGAACATAGTTGAGCCTAATACAGAGATAACCATTAATAACAAAGAGTTAAGTACAACAAAAAGATACTCATGACCTACTTAGGGCTGAGTACAATACAGGAAGAGACTACTCTCTAATTAGGCAAGTTTGATGAGTCACTTAAGTAGAGAGTTAAATGGCAGACTGGCTCATCAAACACTCAGTCATAGCCTGAGAACCTGACACCAGAAGGAGCCCCAGTGGCATGGCCAGTGTGTGCAGCTGAGTGTTGAGTCCCACCATGCAGTCTGCCCTAATTTAATGGCGTGGGGGAGCCTGGCAGTCTCTGATCTCCACCACTGTCAGGTGCTGACCATGAGAAATGGTCTCCCAAGCTCTGGCCAATCAGAGCATTTCCACAGGTTAAAACAGCAATTCTCTGATTGACCATTGGCAAAATAGATAGTAGATAGATCTACTACACAGCCACTAGAGGGCACTTCCTGGTCCATAGCACAGAAAACCTGTGCTATAGCATCGCTGGACGTCCTCACGCTGTGTGAGTACCTCCAGCGTCGCTAAAATCCTTATAGGAAAGCATTGAAAAGCATTTTCAATACTTTCCTATGGAGGGGTCTAATGCGCATGCACGGCATTGCCGCGCATGCGCATTAGGTCTCCCCAGCCGGCGGGCGGGATCAGTCTCCCCCGCCGGCTGACTTAATGAAGGGGAGGAGCGGTGGCGGAGGAGGAAGCAGTGACGAGGGACATCGTCGCTGCCTTAGCCCCTCTTACATCTCCTCACAGATCCATAGGTATGTCCCTTCTCGGTCTCTCCGCTCTGCCCGTGACCACCTCCTGTCCGTTGTCCACACCCGTACGGCCAACTCGCGCTTGCAGGACTTCTCGCGGGCGGCTCCCTTCCTATGGAATAGCCTGCCTCCCGCCATCAGACTCTCCCCTAGTCTTGCATCTTTTAAGAAGTGCCTTAAAACCGATCTCTTTAGGAAAGCTTATGGCCTCCAAGACTAACCCCTACTTCACATACCTGTCTCTTGCCCTCTCCTAAAGGGCAGCCCACCTTATTTGATTGCAAATTCCTGTCCTAATGTGTTTTACACCCCACCTCCTATAGAATGTAAGCTCGATTGAGCAGGGTCCTCCCTCTTCAACCTATTGTTCCTGTAAGTTTATTTGTAATTGTCCTATTTATAGTTAAATCCCCTCTATATAAATGGCAATAATAATAATAATAATAATAAAAAGGGGTTTTCACCCCTTCAGCAACCGGGGATGGGAGGTGGGAGGGAGAGGGGACCTGCAGTGCCAGGAAAACAAATTGTTTTCCTGGCACGGGAGAGTCCCTTTAAGTTCTGCCTGACTTAACAAGATACCTTTGGTCTTGTCATTGAGGAATATATATGTACTAAACGGTACCCCTTGTCTCGGGGGTATATGTACTACATGACTAGGGCCTCTCGGCCAAAACGTTGTATCTTTTTTTGTCCTTCTTGATCTCCAATAAATATCTTTTTGCATTCAACCTATATTGTGACGCCTGTGGAACTCTACTACTTGTTGTTCTTGGTGGGCTGTGGACCCCCCTCCACAGAGCTCCTACATAAACTTACTTGTGTGCAGCACTCCTTTGACTTTATGCTTTGTTGGATATAGTTTAATACGAGGGCATGAAAGACTGGGAAAAAGGCAGGGTTATTCACTAAACTAATACATTTTTGTGAATGAAAATCTAAATTGTAAAATTTTTAAGATGGTCAAGCTGTTACTATACCTAAGTTGGAAAAATTTTAAATTCACAATTTTGGTCTAAATTATGCAATTTAGATTTTCACATTCTAAAATGAAAAATGTTGTGAAAACCGTTTGACGAATGTGAAACCCTTGTTATATTTTATATATGTGTGTGTAATTTCCAAGTGTATTACATATGTATATATTATTACTAACATAATAATTGATACAAATATGCTTGTGATATATATACACAAAATAAATGATCGTCCGTCACATTAATTGTGTATTTTAATAAATTCCCTTGCTTAAAAAATTGTTCCAATGTATTTCCAATTTTGTTTTTTACTTTTCTCGCCATGTCCTCCTCTGGCTGAGATCTGGCCGAGCCAATCAAAAGCTTCCCCATTGGAAAGCAATGGGAGACTAATGAGCATGTGCGCCAATTGCCACAATCATCGTCTCATCATAGAGATGCATTAATGTAATGCATCCCTATGGTAAACATTCATCGTCTCCATGCAGAGTGTACAGATGCTGAATGTAGATCCTGCAAAGATTGCAGAATGCCATCAGAAGTGCCTCTAGTGGCTCACTGATTGACAGCCACTAGAGGAGGCATTAGGCAGCAATATAAACACTGCCTAATGTCCGTGTTTGCTGTGCTGAGAGTGCAAGGACAATCTGTATGCCCCAGAATCATTACATTAAGTTGTACATATTATGTTGCTTAGACCGCAGGCAGGTACTGAGACTACTGGGGCAGAAAAAAATATTATATTTAAGATATACATTTGGTAGGGTCCGGGAGCTGCTGCTATGCTCTCTTTATGTGCTAATTCCACCCCCTGGTACAATCAGCCAATGATGGCCCTTGAATAGACAGACCAATAGCATGCCTCACTCATGGACAACTTTTCTGCTTCCAGAATGGGAACTCAATGTAAATTCCTGAAATTCCTTCTATGCAAAACCTGCTGATTACATACCATGCCTAGTATACTGCTATATAAAATGTGAAGAATAGCATATACCAAGGAGAGAAAGCAATAACACACAAAATAGAAAGAGCTACGGACTATGGAGCATATGGGGTAAGAGGAGATAGAAATAGCATTGGAAGAGACAAGAGGGGAGAAAGAGAAAGGGTTGGAAGAGCAGAGCAGGTATCGTAGGTTTCTACCTCCTGGCATTATCTCATAAATGCTTCCATATAGAAATGGAATATAAACATCTGCCAATCAATCAACATGTTTTGTTTAATTTCAAAAATTGTTTTTAAGAGAAGAATGAAGTACAAAAAAACAACTTTTT